TGTTCCTGCCAATAAATACTATGTTGTACTTTGGAATCTATCTCCAAGTTGAAAACTTGCCAAGAATTCTTTCATCTCACATCTGATGTATAACAAGCAATAACATTTTTATTATTTATTATATAGCTCAAATTAAAGTTAAGGAAAATACTTAAAGGCAGATAGAAAGAAAAATTTCAGTCATTTCAAAACTGTAATTGCTATATTCAAACATTCATCTCCCCTGTTTGAACTGTCATTCAAAGCATCTGTCAAAGAAGGCCTAAGGTCTCAAAACTGTGTGGCAGCTTGAGCGGCTTTCAGATAGAAAGATCCTGCACTTTATTACCTTGTGAGAAAGCAGCTGTGCTTTCTATCCATCTTCGCATCTTTCCCAACGATGCAAAGACTTAAATCACATRAATACTGACACTGATATAGGTACTCGCAGCAGTGATGGTCTTATGCCCTTAATTATACTTTATAGATCAAACTCTTATAAAGAATACATAGGAAAAGCATGGAGAAATCTTTTTTTTTGAACATCATAGCTCTCTGTTATGAATCTAATGAAATTTTAATCTAGTTAGCATTTTATATAACTCTAAAAGGCATGTAGCTTTAAAAAGTTAGTTTTAGTTGGAAAAATGTGTTCTTATTTCATACCATTATTGCCATGGATATTATTGGACAAGAAAATTATATCTTTCTATTGCCATTATATTTTCATTTAACGGTGTGTGGTGAGAGCACAAAACTAAATATATATTTACGAGGTTTCAGGAAACCACTGTAATATTTTTCATTCACTATGGAGAAATAGCAGGAGGGTTTTCTTTGATTTATTTTGTCTGTTGTACTCATGAATTATTTTATCCACTATCAATTTGCCTAAGAGMAGTATGTGTAATAACAGAGAAAAAGAGAAAAGGAAAAATGGGTTCCCTAAACATGTAGGTCTGTGCCAGCATGCAAACTACTACGTTTCTAACATTGCTTTTAGTACTTGCTAAACTTGCTAAATACATTCAAAAGCATGAACAGATGTTTATTTTGAGGGTTAAAATGAAGACATATGGACTTGTCAGGAAATAACATATTTTTAAAGAGATGTTTTGTTTCTTTACATTAATTAAAAATACATTTACTAGTTTGCATTTATACTTGGATATCTCATTCTGTAGTTTTCAGTATCCACATATTCCAAACAGATTTCGTTTTCTGGATAGAAAGGTTCTGTCACAAGATCCTGCAAGTAGGACCTTTGAGTTAAGAAAACACAGCAAAAGCAGATCAAATAAGTTTTTTTAAAAAGGCAGTTATAAGCAGTGAAAAGCAATTTTAAGTTGAATATACTAGAAGTAACTGTTTGGATTTTGCATTTTATAGAAAGTGCAAACATTACTTAGACTTTGACAGTGGACAATATTTTCCAGAAGCTCTTAAGTGTTCTGCCTACACTTCTAACATTAATATTCAGTATTTTATCATTTGGATTTTTACCTGCTCTTGTTGAAGCATCAGTGAGAAGCTGCAGGGATCCTAAGTGAGCAACCTGCAGGAGGCCYAGCAGTCTTGGGAAGAGGCTCTTGATGAAGGAGTGACCTGAAATAAAATCTACAAATACATGCAGGAGAGTCTGAATTTTTTATTTTAAATAAAATGTAAATATATGTGGGGGAAATATAATTCTGGATCAGAGTATGCAAATGCTGTGCTGATATTTCCAGTGAAATGAGTATTTAAAAATATATATTCTACCTAGTTGAAACATGTTCCTTTAGTAAAGTCAGTTATTCCTTGTTGATAATGTAGACCTCTTGCTTCAAAAACATAATGATGTGATGCTTTCAGAAAACAAAAATATTCCATTTCAAGTTTACATTTTCATTTCCATGAACCATTCTTCTATAACCAATTTGKAACATACTAAAACTAAATCTAAACAGAATAATGTTTGTTGGTTATGGGAGTATTAAGTGAAGAAATTACTACATACCACATCCTCACTTTGGGGCTCACCATCTAATAGCAACTTTTGTTCTGCAGTCTGTTTCTCAAAAGAAGGGCAACTGTTCCCATAAGAACACAGTCCCTAGGAATTTTTAGAGTTCTTATATACACAGAAGTAATTTTAAACATTTATTGCTACAGGAGTTTATATATCTTTATAATATCAAGATTWATATTTTTGATGCATGGAGTGCAGACATGTTTCTGTGCTGCATATTTCTCTATATATTTTTGTTACATTTAAATAATGAACCTGCTCCCAGATGAGAGAGCTTCTTATTTGACTTTCTACAAAGAAAATTCTGACCAGAGATAAGAAATATATGTAACTCCTACCAGGTAGAAGTTGTGTTAAATAATTACACTAAAATTATTCAAAATCCCCTTTTCTGCCACTATGGACTTAATAGCCATTCTGCTTACCAAATGGTATCTAATGAGTAGTCTACCTCTGTTTTTTATATCTTTCCTCTGGGCTGAAATATTCATTATTATTTTGATGAAAATGATTTTTCTCTTTTTTCCCTCYTAATTCTAGGAGTAACTATCACAGATACATTTTAGCACTACTCAGGATTTCAAAATGCTCTAATATTATTAAAATATTTTTGTTAATCACAGAAAGAAAACTAGTGTTCATTTGCAAYGGAAAATGTGTACTACAAAAAATAATTAAAGGTATCAGTCCTTATCTGTATCYGATCTGCATATTAAAGTGATACCATTATTAAGTAGCAATTTGATAATTAATACTTAATTTTAATGGGAAATCAGTTTAAATAAATTACAAATGATCTCCTAAAGCAAAATCRTCAATTTAAACAAAAGAGAATCTGTCAATTAACTTTATTGCTTTCAATGAAACCCAAAGTGATGTTTTAATTATATTTTCAGCTACTCAGTTCAGAGAACATGACAAATCTGTTCATTTCTAATGAACTTTTTGAAACGAGCTGTTTTCACAAATATCCATGTCACTTGTGATGGAATACTGTTTCTAGATGATGATGAATGGAGGTATGCGTTTAGATTTATAAAATATCTTACATGTGTTCACATGCATTAACTGTGCTTTTACTTGTTAATAACCCTGCCCCCAGCAAATTCGAAGGCCACGTGCTATAGAAACATGAATTTCAAAAAGCTGTATAAGATCAATGTTCAAACGTTATATAGTGGGTGCTAGAAAAGATCTTTACCAATGAAGTCAATAGCAAAATTTCTATTGATTTTCTTCAATCCGATTTTCCGTTCTTTAATTTCTGTAAACGTCAGTTGAAAATTCTAGGTTTTTCTTTGAAGTATTTTGTGTCTTCTTCCAATATAAATGCCACTTTCTTTTTTAGTATAGACGACTCCTAAAATAAATACAGCTAGAAGAATATTTATTTGAAAAAAAAAGGAAAAAATAAATATAGAACTTTTATCAGTTCTTTTAACTGAGAATGTTAAATCTGAGGGAAAAAAATGGTAGGACAGAGTAGATGTTTGTATAAAGTCTGATTAAGCAACTGATGAATTATTTCTACATATATATATAAGTATATATATAGGTATAGGGATACACATCACCCACTTCCTAAAATAAAGCATTTTCTGTACGTATCAACTGAATTCTTCAGTGCTGTAAGCAGATTTAGATAATGATTCAGTACAAATTATCAGTCATAGTCTCATGGGTTAGGAATAGAGGGTGAATTGCAGAATTCCTTCGTTACTATCAAAATTTCCATTTTTACAATTTCATGGGGAAAGTGAGCTCTGAACAGATATGTTACATTTTTAATGTATTTGTCTGGATTGAATTGTCTATTTTAAATATATTAATTCCATACAATATGTATGAATTACAACAATGTTGTCAATATATATAGGATTAGCACAAATCAGAAATTTAGGAAAGAGGTATCTCCCAGATAGGGTCATATTTATTCCACAGATTGCTGCGAGACACTATGAATAAACAGTATTGACTTTCATTCCTGAGTTACAAAAGCATAATACATTAACTGAATTATTTATTTGGAAGAAGAACATATCGCTTTCCAAATAAAATGCCGGAGAACTGTTTGAAGTATAAATAGCATAGGCACATGAAATACAAATTGTTCTGAATCTCAACATTTTTACATTTAAATCAATCAATTATGGAGCATCGCAGAAATATACTATGTGGATTMTAGAGCTCTGAAAAGCTATTGAAATCTGGCCTTTAGGAAGAAGGTTAAAATGTGTAAGTATCAGATGGAATAATACTGTGAAAGCTGAAATTCCCCAAAGGGGAAGATAGAGTACTTGAACAGCTAGTGTTCAAAGAATACTTACAATTTGAATTTTAAAATAAGAACATTGCACAAAAAATGGACTGACAGCTGAAAGAGTCAATGCATCATATTTTATGTTTTTATGACTTTCTCTTACATTTAATCATAAAAACCTATTTAATTTTTCATTTGTCTTCTGTTTTCTAACTGGTAATGCCCAAAAAAAAAAAAAAAAACAACAAAAAAAAACCCACAATAAACAGTATGAATAGTACCCCAGTATTTCCTACTTCTCTCTGGAATCACCTAAAAGTAATGTAGGCTCATTAATTACCTCTAGTCTCCAAAATCAGCTTATGTGCTCTTAATATTATAAAGCCAAATATAGTATTTATATAAGAAGAGCAAACTATATTGGTTCCATAGTTTCTGATAACAAAAACAGATTAAATTTATGTCTGAATTGCCCTTCAATATCCAAATTTCAACCAGCGACACCTTCTCAAAGAGTATTTTTCTTCAAGATAAAACTGCCTAACTTGGTTTCAATTTAAATCTTTTGACAGTATTTGACAATATTTGGTTTTGTGGTTTTCAGTCACAAAATTGTAACAGTTGAGAAGATGGGAGCTTTAAGGGGCATCAATAGAATTATGGCAAAGTAACCTTACTGTTCCTCTGTTCCTAAATCCCTCAGAAAACAGGATTATTTTTCAAAATGAAAACCAGCCACACAGTTAATATTTCTTCTTTTTTTCATAAAGAAAGAGATAATTCTCAGTAGAAACGATGTTCTGACAGTAGTACAATTATTTATTCTTATGTTTGCATCTCTGCTGAAAACTCCTTTGTACAGAATTGTCAGATTCAGTCAGTTCTGCATTTTAATAAATTAATTGCTGGTTCATGTCTTCGTGATGCTCAAGTCGTGCAAATATCCAGACAACTCCTCTCGTTGGCTAGCTGACAATTTTCTCCCACTCAGTTACTGACACAGCTGACTATCTCATGCCACATTAGCTTGCTCTAGGAATCTATATGGAAGATAGGYGAAGAAATAATTTTATACTGGGAAAATTGCATCTTTAAAATATCAATGTATTTAAAATRTTTTTTAAAATCTATTTTTAAAACACCAAAAAATGTAAATCAAAAAAATGTAAAATATCCTACAACTCCCATTTATCTTAATATTTATAGAAATGTCAGTAAGTTCTTTCATATGATGGCCTCAGAGATGAAGATCAGGATCCCATTCTATCTGACAGTGGGTACATACCAAGAGATTCTCGGTCCCTGTTCTGACAAGCTTTCCACTTGAATAAACAAGGAAGACAAATGGAGGAAGAGATGAAATATTAATATCTGTAGTTAGAGGTGGGGAATTGTGCTACAGAACAAAGTTACTTCCAAGGATTCAAAGAGCGAGCAGAGCTAGGATCGCAGTTTAGGAATTTTGTGATAGTGCAGTATTTCTGTGAGAATATTATCTTTCTTTTAGGGCTCACAAGATTTCACATATGATTTTTAAAAACCAAATCTGGTCTGCAATCCTGACTGCAGCAACCACAGTTTTTCTTGTTTAACCGTCCTCCATTTATTTTGGAACTTGAAACTCTTGTTCCAGTCTCTTCCCCACAGAGGAAATGCCAAAAGAAAAAGTGCTTTAATAATGTATGAGTAACCGCAAGAGTAAAGCGAGAGTAATTTTAAGTGAAATCTGATCTTATCAAAGAAAATAAATCCATTTAACTATCTCAGTGTTTTAAAAGTATGACTACATTACATTACTTAAGTAAATAAGACAATACTTTCCTCTTTTCCAGATGGCGAGTTGGAACACAGTGCATTCACGAAGCACCTTGTCAAATTCCTTGCTAACAGGTAGACTATTTGCTTTTGAATTTATCTATGTTATACTACACCTAACCAGAAGTCTAGTGCTTATTATCTTTGTGGTCGATTGAGGTATTTTGCCTGGCCACTCTGAGAAGGCATGCATAGAAGCAGGGCTGTAAGAAGCGCACAGGGAATATTTGGTGAAAGAGGCAGGCTCCAAGCACATTTCCAGAGATTCTTGAACAGAGCTTTGGGGTTTGAGATTTTGGATTAAGGCATTTCTGCCTGAGTCTAATTCAGGCATTTTAGTCCTTTTTTGGCTTTTAAGCATGAGAAATTTTTCTCACGATTACCTCATGGGTGCATAAAATGAATCCTGCACGTAAATATTTACAGAACTGGTTTTCAAAAGAGTTATTTAATTAAAGGGACATCATTGCATAGTTTTTACTAACTGTAGTCTCCTGATTTGGAAAACTTATAAAGAACAATTTTTTCTTTGGAATTACAAGGACACATTTAATTATCGGTTGCACATACCTGGGACTGGATGCAGTTGCAATGTGGATGGTTGATGTGCTTCGTGAGTACTGAATCATTGGAGCAAAAGCAGGAATCCCCATCAGGCAGTAGATTAAAAACATATCTTCTTATTCTTGCTATAGGATTCCATTGCACTATAGCTAACCTGAACTGCTATGCAGCACACAGGGTAAATGATATATAGGCTGTGAGCTGGTACCTTGCTCAAAGGCAAGTTTCCACCAAGAAATATAGGCAGCATATGTGTTGTTTTGTTTAAGTAAGTTTTACTGAATGCCTTTTGCTGCTGGCAGTAACAGTCATATTTATCTACCTGAAATATCTTTGTACCTGGGTTGGTATAAGTGATCTTTTATTTTCCACAGTATCTATTAATATGGAACATTGTCTTATACTCTGAAAAACTGCTTATAATGCAATCCCTGTACTGGTTACCTTGTTTTTGATAGATTACCAATTCAGATATTTTAAATCAAATCAAGAAAGGCATTTTCTGCACTTTGTACAAAAAGGCTTATTTTTGCTTTCTTCTCCCACATGTACATAAATGTCTGGCCTTGATAAATGCAGGATAGATGCTGGGCGTGCAGCATATTATTCTTTTGTAAGCGTTTGCAGTAATTAAGCACAACTTTTTTCTTTCTTTTTTTTTCATAAATTATAGCATGATGAATGCTAAAAATAATGAGATTATTTTAATTCTTTTAAATGCAAATTGAGTGGACCAACCTAGTCAGCTATAAATGCATTTGCTCAGAAGTGATATTCTGTTGTTAATAAAATGTTAGATTCTTTCACTTTCGAAAATAACTTCCTTACAAGCTTTTCTCTCTTCTCATTGTTCAGTATAACCTAAGAGCCAACTATCTGAAGTGATCTAAAAAGCTCACAGTCCACAAACCTTTATTACATATTGAACACTTAGAATCTGCCTTGTAACCTTTTCTTCTTGTCCCTGCCCTAGCGTCAGGCTCTTAAAACTGAAGTCATCTGCCATGCAAATTCTTAAATTTTCTAAATGAGCTTCCCAGTAAGTTATCATRATTTAGTGTGTTTCCAATCCATAAACTTCACAATGACAATATAAAGCCCAATTTGGTTATATAGATAACTTGTAGTTGTGACACTCAATATTCATAAGTAATAACTTCCTAGAACAATATACAAAATTATCTGTGTTTAATTAATTTATTGAAATATTGATTAAAAATATAAATTCCTTATGTCACAATTAACTCTAAGAATTTATAAACTCACCTTCTTAAGAGAACATTGTAAAAAGATATTGGGAGATTAGAAGATTTAAAAATAATCTTCCATAAATTATCTGTATTTTTTAGCACAAGATCTGTTAGGGATACAGGGCAAGGGCTACACTCACTTGTTTTCCATGACTTGCAAAGAAAAAGAAGATCAGACACAACAGATACCTATCTCCTYCACGCACTGTCTGCAGTGCAGATTTTCCACTATAAATACAACCTGCTGCCATGCTGGAAGTCTGGTTCTATTAATATGTAAACATTTCCTTACCAAAACTCTTCTGAACTTCAATAGGATATCCATGTATTTTAAACTAAAAAAAAAAAAACGAAGTAGATTTGAAAGTAGTAAGGGCTTCATAATTCAGCTTGCTTTACATTTGAAACTGTTATGGGGAAAATACATGCCAGCAAAATTGTGATGCATGATATGTTTTTGCAGCCTATGACATGCATGGAGAGCTGTATATACACAATGGAAATTAAAGTTTTATGTCTCAGCTATAGTAGAAAATTCTTACTTATTAAAGATAAAAGCTGATATAAAAATAATTTTCCTATATTATAGTACAGCAGTTATTACAGTAACTACTTTACTTGGCCTTTGTTTGGCTTTTATAATATTKGCATTTAATTAGCTAATATATTATAAATTAAGCTCTAGTCTGACCAGCAATTGTGCAAAATGGCTCTGCATTTGCAGGCGCTTCCCAGAGTGGAGCCTCTTGCAGAGTCAGGGCCGTAACAGCAGAATTGTCCCGAGCACGTGTAGATTCATCTGCTGAGTTAAAGAGAAAAATGCTTACTGCTTCTGCAGAGTCAGCACAAGTCCAATACAGAAAACTAATGTAATAACTCTAAAATAGCATCACTTACTGACTTCTAATAATGCCCAAGTCTTACATAYTCTGTGGTGTCACTGAAGGTTGATTCCATAGCCATAAGGGAGCAACCAAGGAAAAGGAAAAACAAACCACCAACATGTCTGCAAGAGCCTCGACTCCGCACACAAAGAAAGATCCCCAGTCTGAGTTTCCTCTTCTTTGTGCATCAGCACATCTGAGAAATGCCCTCTGCCGTTTTTCATCAATATTGCATTTTGTGAGTCTGCACTGCAATCTGCTGTCATTAATTCGCTAACATTTTGTAATCTTGGGCTATTTTTTGTTATTATTGCCTAGCAATTTCTAAAGTAGGTACATAGTTACCCAGAGCTGGTAGGAGGCTGACCACAGTTATCTTGTCTTGTAACGTAGGGCACTATGTTATTATCAGGAAACAATTGAAAATATTTTTAATTTTATCCTTGGCAAGCAAGTGGAAGTTGGTATGAAGTATTCTGTACTTATCCAAACGTAGTTTATATGTAGTCCTTTTCCCCAACAATCTTGGGAGACAACATAAATTCTGACTTCCCCTCTTGTAGGATTCCAGGGTTTTGCACATATGAAGTTACATTTGAACTGCAGATCCTCACTGCAAAAATGATCTCTGTTATTTTTCTTTCTGTTGGACTGCTTGCATCATATCTGATTGAGCTACTACTTCAGGTTTACATCTTTTCAACCTAGCAACATTTAACTTGGTGTATATAGCTCTCCCAAGCAATAATTCAGGAAGTGATTACAAGATATATTACTCCTTAAATATGTAAGCAGCCCATAAACAAGATTTTCCAAGTTTTTCCTTCCAGGTTCTCTTTTAAAATCTTATTGAACATTGTTTATCAATATTTATGTGTGTGTATATATGTATTATGATAATGTATCATAATACATATATACACACACATAAATATTTTTATATATAAAAGTCATTATCAAGTTACCATCAACCCAACGAAAAATGTTCAATAAGATTTTGAAAGAGCACCTGGAAGGAAAAGCCTGGAAAACATACATATTTATATATATATAAAAACCCTTTTATATGTATTTGCCTTGGAAAAATTTCACTGCACTTATAATGTATTTGGCTAAAAAAAAAGCCAAGAAAATCATCATAGTAGCAGATGTCACACTGTAAATGCCACGTTTAGTCACTTTATGATGTCATTTATTGAGAAAGGGAAAGCTGTAATTCCTTCAAGTAATATCTTAATTCTGGTGAGTGACATGAGATTTCAGGGAAGCTTTTGTCACACTTCTCCAACTTTRGCCATAAATACTTATTCTGTAACTGTTGGTTTGTACTGACCATCCCCTTAACATAACACATAATGAGCAAGATGTATAAATTTTGCTCCTGTTTCCTCTGGAGTTGCATCTTGGCAATTCTTAAACAATTCCATGCACCTTATTGTGACATTTTATCACATACCTATCTTGTGAGTGAAGTTCACTCTGTTGACTAAAACATGGCATTAGAGCAGCATCAATATATTTGGAATTTCTGGATCACCTTCTAGAGAATAAGACATGTAATTGCTGTTAAACTGGATATTACAAGCAAACAGCTTCATTTTTTTTCTCTTGTAATTGCATCAACCATAATTATAATCTGCGCAACAACTTCCTTATAATCAACTAGATAGGCATCTGAAGAGCAGATGAGATAAACTATCAGCTGCTGTGTTTTAAATTTAACTAAACTGTCATAAAAACAAACAAAAAAAAMMCCCGAAAAACAGAGCCATTTAGTTCCTGCTCCTCTCAGTCTTTCTGTTGTTAAACAAACTGCCACAGAGGTCTGTATGCAATGGTATGCAGTGTGAACATAATACCTCATCAGCAGGTACAGCGGCAGGTTTAATATTTTTATATACCTCAGCAGCAGTTTTAATATTTTTTTTTTCTAATCTCTATCTAATATTTTTCTGGTGTCTCGTAAGTCCTTCTTGGTGGTCCTCATGGATTGGGGTAGAAGTGGCTCCACATTCCTCCTGTGAACATCTGACAGTCAGCCAGACTCAGGAGAAGGGCTGCCTGGAAGACAGTTTGATTGCAATTGTAACTGGTTCATAGAGTAGTTAAACTAGGAGTATTACTGTGCATGTATTGAGAAGGTAAAGCAGGCACCAGGTTAGCTGCAAATGGGTTTTTTAGATTAGCTGCAAAGCCTTGAGAAAACTGAGTGTTCATCTGGTTCCCAGAAGGTATGGAGGAAATAAAAAGAATGCGCTAGGCTTATAGCCGTTGGCCATCCCCGTGCTGAGATGGTATGTACAGTAAAACATGTTACTGTTTGAAAATTAGCTGCAGTGACCTATGTCCAGGATAAATTTTAAGTTCAACAAAGTGGCAGGACAGTTCCACAATCGATATATAGCTAGGAACAAACAATGTATATGTTGACTTAAGACAAAGAAAAATCGTGACTCTAATTCCTTAAATAGATTCCCTACATTCTGCATAGAATTCTAAATTCTATTATTTGTAATTGTTTTTAGAACGCCTGAGCTCAGCTACACATACCACAATTTTGTTTTCAGTCTCAATGGAGAGATGACGTCCCAAAGAAAAGACAACTCCGTGCATCTGATTTGGTACTCAGCAAAATTCAGCGTCAGCCCTCCTGTACAGACATGTTGAAGTGCTCCCTGTAGGGTTTTGTTCATGAGCTTCAGGAGTCTTTCCAAATACAGTAACACATCCAGATAATATTAGATTCCAGGCTCGTTATTAAGAATTATTAACATATTTGAAAAGCTCTGGATGTTGATTCAAGTCCATATGGCACATGATTAAAAGAGAAAAGTCCATTAAGGGTAATAAATGCTGTGAAATTCATGTTGTCTGAATACTTGGTATTAAGCATTCTTTAAACAGGGAGCAGAAAACATACTATAAGTGGATGGCTGCCTGTCACAGTGGTGCTGAGTTCACACAAAAACAAACATTGCAGCTTGATTTTTGTCAGTACTGTGGTGAAACGAACTCAGAAAATGCAGTGTCTTCATTGATGCCATTCTGGGCCAGGTTTGTTCGTGTTGTTTTTTAGATCTTGTGACTCAGTATCTCCCACTGAATTGTGATAATATGAAATAGAATTGTCATTGCAATGGTGCCACATTAGAYTGAACTTTAAATTCCGAGGGTGAAAGCTTCTGCTTGTCTGGTCTTTCTGCGTAAAGGTTGATATTTCTTTTATAGTGTATATTCAGCTTATAACAGCTGAAACTGGAATTTGCATTGGGGCACTGTTTGGTTATACTGAAGCAATGCATCCRTAAATGCTTGCATATTTAGTGTAGTTTAGAGATTTCTACTTAATAAGAGTATTACTATGCACAATAGAGAGTTGGCAGTAGGCATCTACAGTTGTATTTATAGGCAAGAATCAACATGAACAAAGTTGTTCTTCAGATAGTTCACTAGATAAATTGTAAAACTCCTAAAGTGTTCCAGGAACGTGCACCTACYAGGTACTGAAACTCAGAGGTTGATGTCCAACATTACTGAGAAGCCTATGGCCATTCTTCTGACATGACAAAAGGTAGCATGACACAAATGCATCTGTATCTGCCTCTACCTATAGGCAAACTGTAATATCTGGCACTATATCTTCACATAAACATTTTTGAGGTAGAATATTCTAATATAACATCTTTAAACAATGCTTGCATAAACCTGTGCTTGCAGGTAATCTAATCAGAACATACTGTGAAGGCAGTATTAGCATGTGTTTATGTGTATGTATGTATGTATCCACACATACGCAACACACACACACATATACATATCATTTACATATTTGAGTGTATATACATATACACATATACATATATATACATATATGGAGCTCTCTGAGCTCATGACCCTGGGAGGTAAATATTGTAGTGTTGAATACTGCGCTTTTAGCCACACTCCCCACGGTCCAAATTTGACCAGTTTTCGCAAGCTTTTCATTCTCAATTCTGCTCTTGTTGATATACTTGTTAGAACAGCGACGGTGTTGGAATGGCAGGTGCTATTCATGAAGTGAACATTATCTATAATCAATAGGAAACATTTTCTTCTGTAAGCTGAATTTGACCTTCTGCTGTGCTTCTAGACTGACTTACACAAGGTTGTCAGCTTCTWTAAAGCAGCAACCCACTGCTCCGTTGATTTACCTGCTTGCTCTGAATGCTGGCATTGTTTACAGGATTCAGCTGCAACATTTATTCAAGAAAATAATTTCATTTCAGGAGCACAGCTTCATTTTTCATCTTGAGGAAAAGTAAACAGAATGCATGCTGGCTCTGATACAGTGAAGAGCTGTGATGGGTTTGTTTCTCCAGCCAAGTCAGTGCCGTTAACTGCAAGCATTTAACTTCAGTGCCTTGCATCTGGGCAAGAGAAGGAACTGAGGGGCACGTGCACGTTGCTGGGATGGTGCAGATGAATCAACGGCAGCACTCGTCCAATTGCTCGAGTAGCTGAACATAAGGGTTTAACACTGAAAGGACTCTTCCATGTATCCGCAGCATTACTAGATGARAGCATCTGACTACAGCAGGCACTAGTGCTATGCCACAAACCAATCAGAAATAATTAGCCTAGATTTAGAGCAATTAAGAGCAATGCTCTCCTCTGTCCATGAAATTCAATTCATGTTATGTATTTGGTGTAGTATGTTCTGCCACTGGATCATCATCTAACTGCAAACTATGTTAGGCAACTAGGATAAGGCATTTTTTTAAGTCTTAAAAAAAAAATGAAACATTTACTTACAACAAGGATAACTGATAAACTTCCCTAAGTTTTCTGTTGTTCTTCATTCCTGTATTTTCAATACAGAAAACCATGAGGTACTTCAAAGACAGCTTTAATTAAGTACTTAATTAGTAAAGATTTAGGTTATTACCATGGGGGATGAGATGAGAATGCAGCCTATGTAGTGCAGAACTCAGAAGTTACTGAAGGAGAGGAAATACAAAAGAAAGAAAAAGGAAGTAGGAAATCAGCAAAAAAGGCAGAGAACAAAGAAAAATAAACAAAACATAGACCTAGAAGTCATGCTGGCAGCAAGCAGTTCCTTCCTGAAGGTGACGAAACGTTATTAAGGAAATAAAAAATAAAGATTAGGAACTTGTACCTGTTTCTACAACTGGATGATTTAAGGCACTTTTACCTTGAGCCTGTAATGTTCTAGTGTCYACAGCCTTCTCCTTATGAAGATTTTGGAGGCACATGCAGAATTCTGTGGTCAATTCTGAGAAAGCAAGCAAGCAAGCGTCAGGAATCAAAACTAAATTCCAAAGCCACTGCTTCAATAGCTGCTCCTTTTCATTAATGACTTTATTTTAATGTAAGTGGAAATGAATTACCAACTCTGGAAAGGCGTCATGATGAAGAACTATCTTCCCTGTATCGCACCCAATTGTAAGGGAGAGGTTAGGAGTAAAAGCAGGACATGTCTTCAKCTGGAGACCTGCACACCGTGAAAGAGTTTTGGCAGTGCTACCAGGCAGACGCTTCTGCTCTAGAGGCCCAGTGCTACCTCCTGTGCTTTTCYAGTGACAGCCAGGAGTGGGTTTGGGGTTTGTTTTGTTTGTTTTTTTGGTGAATTGTACACTTGCGTATTTTAAAATGCAGTTTTTAATATTACCAGAACCAATACGGAAAGGCAGAGCATGGGTGTTACTGGAAGAGGGAAGAAGGTGGAAGTGGGGATTATTTCAAAATCATTTCAGTCTTGATTAGACTGAAATTTTGATTGAAAAGCTGAAACTATTTCAACAGCGCTCTAAAAACACCTTAGTACTTGGGGGAGGAGAGGAAACATGGAAGAAACTCCCTATGAAAGGATCCCTTGAGTGGAAAAGTTGTATTAAGCCGAGTCCACAACTTCCCCCTGGGGTGTACCTTAACCCCGGGCTACGGAACAAAGCGAAACGTCCTTCGGGAGTTTATGGATGCAGCGCGCCGGCTGCTTTGGCAGTGGGCGCAGGACGTCSCGGCTCCCGCTCTGACACGGCGGGCAACACGGATCGTCCGGAACCGGCCCCGCGTCGCGGGTCGCGGCCCCTCCAGCCCGAGCCGCCGCTGCTCGGGGCGGCCCCTCCCGCGCGGCGCCGCCCGCGCTCCC